GAGGAGCTAAAGGAGCCAGATCCCCCTCCCCGTGAAATTCTGCACTGAACAGGGCCACTGCCAGGGCATTCCGGGCATTCTCCCGACACCTAATGAAAACTGGATTCCAGATAGCTAAGTAAGCAGGGTTAGGGGCAACATTCAACACCTTGGTACTTCAGCATTTATGCTTTCCCAAGTGCTTTGGGTAAGCAAGCACAAATTGAGTCAACTCTACATTTGTCGGTGTTTATTGGAGAACCAAGTTTTTAATAGCAAGATGGCTTCCTCTTGCCAAAAAAATCAGCTCCCACAACCAGCTAGAGAGTACCCAAGAAATGACAATATGTCAATATCCATCAATCAAATAAATTAGAAAAGTAAATCGGCTACTAAAAAAAGTCATTTAATATATTTAGGAGTCACTAAAGAGAGTTAAGATTCCGTTATATGGAGTTACCTGCATCACTGCTCATTTTTCTTTTGGATAATCAAGGTTGGTTATACCCTGCATAAGATGTACATAATTATGCATGATCTGAACGACAACAGTAACTTGTGCAAGAAAAAAAATCCTACATTCTGGTGAAGATAAACTCAGAAATGGGCAAAGATTTCCAAGCTCTTGACACAATTCTGCTTTAAATTGTGTTGTTGAGACATACTTAGGTTAGTACCCTGACTGATATCTTACTAGCTGTGGGATCTTGAGCAATTTTCCTAGAGACATTAAATAATGTAACATATATAAAATGTCCACTACTGGACTTGAAAAAAAAAGGTAGTTATTTGTACTTCCACAGACCCTAGGCGAATTTCCCTGTAAAACCAATTTTATACATTGATAAATATTTTTAAACACTTTTAACTATGGATATATTATATAAAAGAATGTAATATTCACAAAAATTTATAAACCTTAGACTTCAATGAAACTTGGCTTTTTTTTTTTTTTTGGAGTTGCTCCTGGCCAGCTTCTGGACATCCTAAAGAACACATTCTCTCTCCTCCACCCTTTCATACTGGGTTCCTCATCTGTACCACAGAACAAGGAAGGTGATCAGACTATATTCTCAATTTTCCTCAAGACTGTACATAACCAGCACCATGTCTGATGCACTGGAGAAAAGTTTATACATTACATACAATGGATGACTAATGGCATTAGGGTTTAATTCTCTCATGGAAATCCAGTTGAGAAAGGCTCCTCTACCATCAAGTAGCCACTTAGTGGAAAATCTGTAGAGCACTGGGTGTTGAGGAACTACTGAATTACAGGGAATGACATGGTCAAATTTGCATTTTAGAGAAATCATTCTAACAGAAGCAAGTTATATTTGGGCAGTAGAAGGCTGGAGGTAAGAAGACCAGTCGGGAAACTCTTCACAGGCTAAAAATGAGACAAGAGAAATGGAGAGGCCCACCACAGCCAGCAAGTATGAACTGAGAAACTACAGGCATGTTGCAGGGGTGAGTCCAGCCCTTCAGCCCCATCTGCTACTCTATCCTCATAGTTCTGCACAGTTCTGCTCACAAAGTGGTAAAATGTTTATTTATCAAGTGTCATGAGAAGAACTAAATGCTAATGCCAGTGGCAGAAATGAAGATAAAGTGAAGAAAAGCAAGAAAATAGTGGATCTCTTGTCTGGAAAAAGACGTTTTGGATTCACGAAAGACTGGAATGCCCTGTTTTTATAGAATCAATAAAGTTCTTTCTCAGTTATACCTTACTTTGATTAGGGAAATTATGTGTTATGTGATACTTACTAATTTAGGGATTTGAGAAGGTCTAACCTTGGGGGATATTACATGGAGGAATTAAATTAGAACCACTCAGAAGGTAAAAGTTACAGGGAAGCAGATTACAATTTAGTTGTGTCCTTTTAATTAGAGCTGTCCTGTATTAGAATGGGTTCTCTTCAGAGGTTATAAATTCTCCAGTACCATCCTCTGGATGACTAGCTATCAGGCATGTTGGGGGAGACCGTCCTAAATTGTAAAAAGATGATTATGTTGAGAGGTCAGACTGGATGACATCTACAATGCTTTCCCAATCAAAGATAATATAATTCTCATTCTGGGCTTCAGTTTCCTCATCTGCAAAATAAAGAAACTAACCTAGATTATCTTTAAGAAGCTCTGTATTTCCTGGATTTGCTTCTACCTAAACTTCCATAACCTTGCTTGGCCAATATCCACTTGCATTCTGAACACAAGGGTAGACACAGGTCCAGGGACTGTAAAAGGGGTGGATCATGGCCATGAATCAAACCCTTCTCCAGATCTAGATTCATGTAGCACCAGAATGGTCCAAAGGATGTTCTAGAGAGAGCCCTGAGGTTAGGTTATTTATACCCTGGTAGGCTCCCAGACTGATCTGGGAGTTGGTTACCCAAAGAAGTTCAAAGGAAAAACTGGCTTTGGCCTAGTTCCAGACACCCAGCCAGCCTCAGCAACAACCCCATCTTTACTCCGGGTTATTTTCAGCCTAAAGGACTTGAGAATGAGTCTGAGAACAAATAAAAGACTTCAGGCATCCCTTCCTAGACATAGACTCGCAGTATACTGACCAGTCTCAACTGTCAATATAGACTGACAGTATAACAGGATTCATGCTTTGAACTGGAAATGGGATGAAGTGTTCTTTCAGGTCCCTTCAAACAGTAAGATTCTACAAGTCTGTATATTTGAAGTTACCATGGAATATTTAAATATCACATTTGGTCAAGTGTAAAACTAAGACTTTGATATCCACCTGACACACTGAACTCTCACAACTCTGATCTGGACAGCCTGGAGCAGGAGTGGGGTTGAGTGACAAGTGGGGACTGGGAAGGTGGAAGGAAGAAGGTAATAAAGGAAGGCTGCATGTGAGAGAGAAGCTGCATTCATCTGTATCCCACTCTGAATTTCTGTTACAGGATAGAAGACAGATAAATGTTCACTCTGGCAGTGTTATTTATTACCAGTTATTTATTATAAATAAATAAATGCTTCATTTAGAGTCAAGGTCACTGATAACACCTGCAGATTTCTACGGTCACATCCAAAAGCAAGTGTATCTGAACTATAGCAATAAGCATAACAACAGAAATGCTTCTCAAGGCAGTTCCTCTTTGAAATAAACCCCCAAGATGCTGATCAGCAGTAGCAGGGGATGAGAACATGTGGGAATGTTGTATGTGTGGCAATCAGGACTTCTGCTTTCACTTCAGCATTTCCCACTGTCCTACATACAGTTAACAGCACTTTGGATGGGGGCATATGAGAAGAGCTTTACATTGTAGACCAATTTCCTCTTTCAAGATATAAATTTCTTTATTATTAAAGACTATGTAGTCCACAGATGTTCAAGAATTTCGACTGAAAAATTAAACAATCACTTGACTTTAAAATGGTAACACAGGCTCACTGCAATCTAAGGTTGTCTACTAAAATGTATAAAGAAGTATGAATTTACTGTTGCATATAGCAGTGCTCACTACCATACAACCACCACAAGGAGGAATGCCTTATTATAGACTTAAGCACCCACCCACTTCCTGTTGAAATACAGGGTGGGGCTGAACCTACAAATACAGCCAGACTTTCTCCAAACACAAGGAATTACTGACAAATCAGTTTAAGGTCACTAGAGTAATGTCCAAAAGAGTTAGCAAGACAGAAATGGTACTTCTTGGGAGGAAAGAGAAAGTATCTGACTGGGAGAACCAAGAAAAAGAGCTTACTTGTGATCTAAGACCAGAAAAAATTTCCAATTTCATAAAGGAATGACACCAGCTATGGACTTACATTCAATAAATGTTAAGGATCCTTGTTAACCTGAGTTGGTTTTGAGAAAGTAGCCCAAGAAACAAGACTTCTAAACTCCAGTATCTAACTCCTTGAGCACACTGTACATATATCAAGCACATCTGACAATTCTATAGCTTTCTATTATCTTTTGGGGGTAATACCACCTTTTGTTCTTACCTTTATTATTCTTCAGGCTCTAATCATAGCTTTGCTCTTACAGCTAAACTTGGGGGAATAACTTTTACCTTCAAAATTGGTTTCTCCTAATATCAACTATTCCTTAGAAAACTGCCTTTTAAATGGCCCAAATTAGGCTTTCTTTTTAGTAGGATCCATGTGGTTGTCCAAAAGAAAAGGCATTTAAACTGTGAGTAGGAAACCTGGATTCTAGTTCTTACTCTAATGATGACTGGCAATTGGGGAAAATTTTTCAATTCATCCTTACAGTTCAGCTGTGAGCTGCACTTAAAAAATGCTCAAGAGATGCTCTATGTAACCAAGATTTTGTCTGCAAAGTATTCTGGGCTCCAAAGAAAAGATTTATTCACATAAAATATTTCTTATATCTCCACCTTGGCCCAAGTTCCCTGTCGTGTATCCACTTAAATTACACAGGGTCTACAATGTTATCATTGATGACTTTCAGTCACAGACACACAAAGTTCATTTTACCTTCCCAATCTAATGCCAATTTCTACCAATCCCCAATTCATCAAAATGGAATGATTTGAAACACTCAAACTAAATGGGCTTAATCTGACAAGATAAATATAAATTATGAGTGATTTTTCTCATAAATGTAGAAATCTTATCCCTAACTAATTTGTGGGTACTCATGTGCCAGACTTTCTTCAGCTACAGTCACCAACTGAGCATTAAATTCACATAGGAGTAGACATGAAAAGCAATAAGCTACTCTAAAAACAAACACCAACACAAAACTATACAAAATATCAAAGCACACCAAATCAGTTTACAAGATTACTAGAAATGAGGGCAGAAGGAGACAGCGCTGAATCACACATCAGGCACCGGGTAAGTCTCATTTCATCCTGCCAGTTGTCTAATCATTCGTTTTAATCTCTATGATGCCTCACTTCGTATTTCAAGCTTCTCTTTGCAGTAACTGCTCCGTCCCCTGGGATGGAAAGGCCAAAAAAGAAACCAACTTTACATAACAGAGAAAGGCCAGGAAAAAAAAAAAGGAAATACAGCAAAATGTTTGGCTGACAGCTGAGGGCAATATGCAAACGTACGGTGTGGTCATGGAGCAGGCAGAAGCAGCAGTCCTGGATGACTATTCAGATACCAACTTGAGGAGAGAGACCTAGCAATCACAACTACATCTCAACACCAGACAGTGGAATTATGGAACAAACTGCCATGCAATTCTGTATCAACTATTCTATTCTGCCAGCTGTAACAAGAATTCACTCCTGAAAAAGTGTCACACACTCATCTGTCACTAACAGTCAAGCCGCCAGCAACTAAGAGTCAGCAGCAAAGGGCAGCTGTACATCTCCTTCCTCTCACAAGGTCTATTCACCACTCAAAACATGGCATTTAAAAGGAAAAGTCCTTGAGCAAAGGAGAAAGTAAGTACCCATTCTTTTCTTTCTACCTTCAGTTTTCTGGGCAGGTACCAAAGCCCTCAAAATCTAATGAGCAGTGGCATAGAGCAGCAAGAGCACAGACATGAAGAGACAGAGGTGTGGGTTTCAATCCACTACTGCCAAAATACAGCTTTGGGGCCTTGGCAAGCGGTCAAATCTCTCAGTCGTTTCCTAATCTGTTATATTAGTATAATGATTCCTAGTTTATAAGGTTGTTGTGAAGAAAAATGAAATAATTCATGTATAAAATGCAACATAGTGCCTGGCTTTGAATAGATAATTACAACAAATAGTTGTAGTGATTGTAGTAATAGTAATAGAAGTACTCGTTCTACACGTATCTAGCACTTAACTATGTGTCAGGCACTGTTCTAAATGTTCTCTGAAACATTAAACAACACTATTAATAAGCTTCAGGTTGTATTAATGGGTAACTACTAATTACAGTACTTATCAAAGAAATATAAAAGTCTCTCCCTCGACTCCAAGAGCTTATGACTTCAGAAGACATAAAAAGCACAGTTAAGTAACAATATAGAAATAAACAGAAGTTCTGTTATCAGATGAATGATGCAGTCAATGATGACAATAGAAAGGATGAAAAGATCACTGTGAATGAAAGGGACTGAGCAGATATGCTGAAATAAATATCTGAACTGGGCAAGATTTGGATATAAAGAATAAAGAGGAAAAGGTTGTCCAAGAGGTGGTAATATAAGCAAGGTAATATAAGCAGAAGTCTTGAACTCTAACAGAAAAGTCACAATTCTAATGTATTTCATCAAATCTAAGATGCCACTGATTCTAAGATGCATCATGATTCAAGAGATGTTAAAATATGAAGAAGATGTACATATCAGAATCAGTGAGATATAATAGTTCTTGTTCGATAATATGAGAAGGTAGACAAGATGACCTTTAAAAGTTCTTTCCAACCCTAAAATGCTATGATTCATAACTCAGACTTCTAAGAGAATATTCAAATTTTACCAAACCATCAACACCATGGGAAGAACAAATATAAAAAAATTAGAGAGACTGGAACCATACTCAACTATTTGCAAGGCTAAAATATTTACCTCCTAACAAGTATGTTCCTATTTTCCTATACAAACTTGAACATAGTTATAATAGTTGTTTTAATATCCTCGTCCACCAGTTCCATCATCACCTCTGTCATTTCTGAGATTCTACTGACTGGTTTTTCTCCTAGTTAATGGGCCACATTTTCCTGGCAATTCTGGAAACTTTTGATTGGATGTTAGACATTGTGATTTTACAATGGTGAGTATCCAGCATTGTTGCCTTGGTTTCAAGAGTGTTGGGCTTTGTTCTGGTAGACAGTTACTTTTGGTTTAGCTTGGTAACTCTGAAGCTTGTTTTTAAGCTTTGTTACAGTGGGTTTAGTTTAGAGTAGCCTTTACTCTATGGCTATTTTAGACTCAGTACAAACATATGGGCTCCTCTGCAGTATCTACTGGATGCTCCCAGTAAGCAGCCTGGGCTCTTCACTCTGGCTGGTAGAAACTCAAACACCTCCCTGCTCTGAGAACCAGTTAGCTCACATCTTCCTGGTCACTCTTTCCCCAACCTCATGGAGTCTGACCCCAGGTATGCTGTGTGTTCAACAAGACTCAAGGGGACTCTAAGGAGATTTCTAGAGTACTTTTTCTGCAAAGTTCCTTCCTTTCTGCCTCACCCCCACTGTTTTGAGAGAAATCTTCTGCATCCGTGGATGTTTTGCTGCCCTTGTCTAGCTTGGATTAAGACTTAGTCTATAGGCACAGACCTGATCATCTACATTTGCCCTCTTACAGCACTAAATTATTTTTTCTACCTTTATCTTGCATCTACCTACCACTTCAGCATTTTATTTAAATAATAATAATAATAATAAGGGAGAAATGTGGGAGTCACATATAAATCAAGTATAAAAATCAAATGAATAATCATATCTGACTTGATTGTTTATAGTTCATGATGCGTGATCAAAACCAAAAGTTTCTGTGACATGACTGCCCTTGCACTGTTCACCATGTAAGAACTTATTCACTATGTAAGAACTTGCTCACCATGTAAGAACTTGTTCATTATGCTTCAGAAGATTGGAGACTATTGAGAATTAGGCTTGGGGTTGATTAATGATTGTGCATTGAGTCCCCTATACAGAATTTTATTGTTGTTAACAACCATTTGATCAATAAATATGAGAGATGCCCTCTCAAAAAAAAAAAAGTTCCTTCCTTTCTAGAATTCGGCCTCCCACTTTCAGTTGCTTCAGCCTCCTGTGAAGTACAATCTTTTCAGTTCAGCAAGGCTAATGTGCTCTGACTGGGATCCCCCACCATACTCCATAGTTAGAATATACATCTATGCAGAAAGCCAGGGTAAACACAGAGCTTACTTTATTTTCTTTCTCCCAGGGATCACACCCCAGTGCTTCCTCTCTTAAGTCAGGACAGATTTTCACTCTAGTTTTGCAAGGCCTCCAACCAAAGAGGTACTCTAAAGTCCTTACAGAGAGATTAATTTCAATTTACCTTCAATAAGTGTACACCACAGAGTACTTTTAGGAATAACAGGAAAAAGTAATTGTCCTGAAGTCAAACAAACAAGAAAGCACTGCAAATAGGTAGGATATCATCACCATATGCATGTAACATACTTGAATAACATTTAATTCATTTTTTGAATGGTCACAATTGAGAACAGTGACAGAAAATTTCTTTTTTAAAGCAATATTTATATAAGTGCTTGTCACATTCAAAAATCAATATAGCTTGGTGAACCCAGAGGCATGTTCAGTCAAGGGAATCAAGGATTCCCTGAGCTATTTATACAACTGGGCTAGTTAATCTCTTTGAATCTCATCTGTAAAATGGGGAAAATAAAACCTACCTCAAAGAATGGTTCTAAAGATAAAATGAGATAACTAAGCCTTCTTCTAGAGGAGTTCATAGTACCCAGTAACTGACAGCTCCCGTTATTACTAATTCAAAGGAATGCTGAGTTTGTCTGGACTCATCTCCTAGTGGTAATACAATAAATTTAAGAAAAGCAGGTCAAATCAAACAGCATTGAGCACTGCACACAGGGCTCTCCTAATTGGCCACCTTTTCTTTGTTCTCAGTGGAGGCCAAGTAGTAGGTGGGCCTCTTACTTTCTGAGACAGGCTCTCCATGAGTGTGGGGACAAATGCTAAGAAAGAAATGGATAGCCTCTGCTTACATTATGCCAATTTTAAGGATTAAGACAAAGTGTATCAGTCTTCCAAATCACAGTTAAGAGTCAATTCAGTATTTTTATTTTATGTACTTTGAAAGAAAATAGTCTCAAAGGGACTATTACTTGGATTGTCATTTTTAAAAAAATCCTTTCATCTTAAAGGCACAAAGAAAGAAGTCACCACTTCTAAGAAGCCTTCCTTCACTCTTTTAGTCTGAAGTCATTTCTCCCTCTCCAAAAGCGCTGAAGAGATATGTAGGACCTCTTTTATGGAAGTCAGTACATTCTGTTTTGTATCACAGATTTCTGGAATGAATAACTGGTTGAGTACAGAAACTGAAAAAAAAAATATCTTTATACTTTACAGAAGTAGTAGTAACAGCAGCTATATGGAGCAAAGAGTGGGATTCTTAAAACATATCTAGTAGTATGCTGATGGACTGTGACTGTAATGGGGTATGTGGTGGGGAGTTTATAATGGGGGGAATCTAGTAACCACAATGTTGCTCATGTGATTGTACATTAATGATAACAAAATTAAAAATAATAATAATAAAAAGGTAAAAAAAAAAGTATCTAGTAGTGTCTGCTTAGTAAATTATTTGTTGAATTCCTAAATGTGTCAGATATTTTACCCACATTTTCCCATCTATCTCTAATCTTTGAAACACTTCTGTGAGGTAAATAGTTAGCATTTTGAGTTTACAGATGAGAGAACTAAAACTAAGAGTTCTGTGACTTTATCAAAGCCACACAGTCAGCTTTTATACCCAGGGCTTTCTGTACCCAAAGTTCCTGCACTTTCCATGACATCACAATGACTCTTCACAAAACACCCAAACCAAGAAATTAGACAAATATGCCATATTTCTCATTTTAATACACAAGTGCCACCCAAACCGCAGACTAGTTTCTTCCCCCTTGAAAAAAGACTGCATGCTAACACAAGAAAGCCTTCCTGGCATATTTACCCTAGAACTGAAATCGTGTTAATGAGGATAACACACTGCTTTCTCCCTCTCTACACCCAATTTTAGCCAGCTGCTCAAGGACTTCACATCTTTCACTTTAAACAACATAAACACTGGCTTATTTAAAGTGCCAGCCTCAGATAACATGTTCAGATGCTATTGCTTCTCAAACAAACTCCTGTTTTCAAACAGCTAGGCATTTGGGGTTCTGTCACTTCTGATGGTTTACTTTTATCTATAGGGTCCCTGAAAATCACTTTAAGTTTCATTCTCTATGCACTGTTCAGCTCATCAAACCTCGTCATTGGGGACTTTTTTTTTCTTAAAAGCTCCTAATCTTTCATCTTCTTTTACAATGAACCAAAACACATTCCTATAGCTGATTCTTAAACTCTATGTGTATATATACATATATTGTTTCCATTTTGCTATCATTAATGTACAATTACATGAACAACATTATGGTTACTAGACTCCCCCTATTATCAAGTCCCCACCACATATCCCATTACAGTCACTGTCCATCAGCGTAGTAAGATGCTATAGAATCACTACTTGTCTTCTCTGTGTAAAACTCAGTATACCTTACACAGCTACCAAATCCTCGAGTAGCACGTGTCCCCACCCACTACATTATACGTGCTAATTGTAATGATCCTTTTACCCCCTTATCCCTCCCTTCCTACCCATCTTCCCTAATCCCTTTCCATTTGGTAACTGTTAGTCCATTCTTGGGTTCTGTGAGTCTGCTGTTTTGTTCCTTCAGTTTTTTCTTTGTTCTTATACTCCACAGATGAGTGACATCATCTGATACTTGCCTTTCTCTGCCTGGCTTATTTCACTGAGCATAATACCCTCTAGCTCCATCCATGTTGTTGCAAACGGTAGGATTTGTTTTCTTCTTATGGCTGAATAATATTCCATTGTGTATATGTACCTCATCTTCTTTATCCATTCATCTACTGATGGACACTTATGTTGTTTCCATTTCTTGGCTATCGTAAATAGTGCTGCAATAACCATATCTCTTTCAAACTGGGCTCCTGCATTCTTAGCGTAAATTCCTAGGAGTGGAATTCCTGGGTCAAGTGGCGTGTGTGTATATATATATATATTTTAAATAATATTCTTCTGACCCTTTTTCTAAAATTGTTTTTCCTTTTTAGTCCAAGTAAAGATAATTATAACAGAAGTGAGTTTTCCTCTTTTCTTTCTGCATATGCTGGATACTGACAAGGTAAGTCTTTTAAAATTATTAAATGTAAATAGTTCATTAAAAATAATCTAATTGTTTTAACTGTGAAAAGGAAGTAATTACAATATGTACATGTATTCTTGTCTGGTAGATTTAATATCTGAAATTAATCTTTTCAGCACTAATATTTTAAATTAATCTTTGATACTGGAAAGATGCAAGAAACTCACGACTCTTTGAAAACAAAAACAATACATGTTTATATTTATATATAGGGCTAGCTGTACTTTATGGATCTTTGTTGTGATTGCACCCACAAACAGTTTTAGTGGGATAAGCCCCGCTCCCACAGAGAGGGGTAATTAAATACCACCTGCCCTGACAGAACTGGTATTTCTTGTCTGCAATAAATCATGTTAAAGGGTCTGTTTTAAATTCTAATGCCTTCATGGAACAAAAGCCAAGAGATGAATTCTGTGGCATTCCAATAATCACAAAAGCTTTATTTAGAAAGACAATTCTAAGCCAAAATGTTAGATGAGTATTTTTGGTATGGTAGTCTAAAACTTTCATTACCTCATTTCCATTCTGTTACTACCAATTACAGCTCCCTGAGACCACCCCCAAGCATTCACTCTCCTTACTCTCTGGCCCTAAGCCTCTCAAGTTTACTGTTACAACATTTTCCCTTAGCAGCCATCTGGTTCTTTGGTTCTTACTCTTTCTTGGTGACCAAGGGAATAAATCTCTATGAACTGCTTTGAAAATGGGCTCTGCCATGGTCTGTGAAAGGCTTACACAGATGAAGAATTAAGACTGTTTTTCTACCTTCTACCAAAAATCTACCAATGAGGACTGATTTAAGATATGAAAATATATTTAGAAAAATTAAAATTTTATTTAGATAACAGAACTTTTTCCAGACTTTAGAAATAGCAAGACCTGTACGAATATATATATGTTGTACAGGTAACAACTGGGGCCATGTTTGTGCAACACTTTCCCTCCAAAGTAGAAAAGTTCTATTTAGAGTACTGAAGGGCATCATGTGTTTTCAGCAACTCTGAATTTCACTGAAATAGATAGATTTTCCTGTTCAGAGCCTTTATCAATGAGCCAAAGGTGCAGCTCTGCCTCACTGAACGACTTCCCAAAACAAATTAATGAAACGGAGGAGGGTAATTATTACTAACTCCTTTGGTCATCTGGACTGTAGCCATGTTGGAGAAGTTCCTGACTACGTAAGGCTGGCTTCTACTGCCATCAGGCTAACTATGGAAAGCTGTTTTATGGTCTGAAAGGAAATGACATAGGTCACTGTGGGTTCCCTCATCCCAAACACTGTAATGGATTCTGAACAGTTACCAAAAGTTAGCAAAAAAAATGGATGGAGCCTTTTATCTGATGATGATCACAATCCTCGAGGACAGCCCCCGTTAAAAGACAAGAAGCAATTCCACAGGTAAAAGGGGCATCAGCAGCTAAAACTAAACCCCTTTCAAGATTTAAATGATTCAAGTCTCATCTTGGTAACATTGGTATTTTCGTACAAAATGTATCTTATTAGACCAGCCCTTGAAAGTTAAAAAGGTGTCTTTAAATGCCTGCTGACCTAAAATTGCCATGTTCTATGCTCTAAAGGAATTGATTTTCTGGAAAAGGACAATAATATGCCAAATTCTGTTCAGTGGAGATCAGAATACTACTTGGTGAATCTACTTTGCACCTGTGGAAGCAAAAGAATAAGACAGACTCATACACCCCAGAGGGAGGATGGTATTTATCTGGGCTTTCCCTCTGACCTCTTTGGCAGCCAATATAAGAAAGTCCTTTTTTGAGACTAAGAGGCGGGCCCAGGACTTTCAATACCCATTCAAGCAGGGTTACAATTCCCCTCCTCCATAATTAAGTTCCCTTTCCCACTCTCCATGCATGCATGAATTGCAGTGGCATTGACATGGGGACCTGACATTAGTCTTTGAAGGTCATTTAAATCCTCCTCCTTCCAAGCTGCCTTAAAAGCAATGCATCATCCATTCCACAATGCTTGGGTGTAGGGTTTGACTAGATGCTACTCAAAGTGGAGTCACCTAAAACATAAAAAGAAAGAGGGCTCCAAATTCAGGTATCATAAAAAGAACAAATAAAAAGAAATAATAAAACATGACAGAAATTCAGATTGCTCGAGACAATAGTAAGAGAAATACTAAACATCTAACACTGGATGAATGGAAACACTTCTACTGATAATCCCTTTTATTTACTAATACTGAAAACGTCATTCACAATATGGTCCCTTTCTATGGCTCCAGTCTTGTCTCCTGTTACATCTTCATATATACATACACTTCCCTGAAGTCCTATAGGCCTTCCCATGGCTCCCCATTGTACAATGTTCTCTCTTGCCTCCATACTTTTTGCTCAAGTCTGACCACCTACCACAACCCCCAAACTTCTAAAGTCTTCCAAGACTGAGCTCAAGTGAAAACATCTCTTGACATGCCTTGTCCTAAAGAGCTTGGTGCCGCCTTCCCTACACACTCTTTGAACTTCCATAACACCCTACACATGCCTATCTCATCTCAGTAAGATGATGACTGACTTTCTTACTTGCTCTCCCACTACACTGTGAATTCTTTGAGGCTAGTCATCAGTCTCACAGTGACCACCATGCTAGGCACAGAAAGAATGGTCAATACATATTTATCAAATGAATGAAGCCACAGTTAGTGACTCTTGTGCTCTGGCCCTCACAAAGGTGAGGATGGGAAAGGTGTTTGGACCCACAGTTTATAGGAATTCTTCCTGAAAGAGAACTCAACCTGAACAGCCCAAATTCTGCCTGTTTTAGAATTAAGATTCCTGGTAGCTCACCAGATGAAGACAGGATCTACATATACTCTCTAAGCCACAGGAAACAATCAAGAGAGCTGTAATCTGGTACAAAGCAGAGTGAGATGTAAAAATTAAAAACCAAGGCCACCCTGATCAACATGAGCTATCCACCATTTCCCTTTTACCTGAAAGCTCTTGCTTCCTAATGTAAAGAGAGAAAAATGATAGAATTATCAGCCAAAGAAGATAAATTCCCAAAAAGGTTAAGAAAGGTCAGAAATGGGGTATGTGGTGGGGACTTGATAATGGGGAGAATCTAGTAACCACAATGTTGCTCATGTAAGTGTATATTAATGATACCAAAATCAATTAAATAAATAAATAAATAAATAAATAATTTACAACAATAAAAAAAAGAAAGGTCAGGATAGTTAAGTCATGAACATCAGCACAAGCCTGAAAGAAATCCAGGCTGTCATTAAAATCTCCAGGCACTCAGCTTAAAATCTTAATAAGCCTCTGAACCTTTCCTTTCCCTTCCAAACCTTCCTGTTTCCTTCCCCTCAATACTTTTCCTCCACCCCTCAACCTGCCTGCCTTTCTTACCCTTCTTTCTTTTTCTCTCTTCCTTCCTGTTTTTTTTTTTTTACTCTCTACTACCCATTTATTGTAAAAGATGCAACTCAGGGGCAGACAGATGGAGGAGGCGCCAGGCAAGGCGCAGGGTGGGGGCAGAACTTCCATGCCCCCACCGCCCCCGGCCACTCTCTTCCTGTTTTTATAAATAGGGATAGAGCTGATGAGAATCTAGCAAACCAGTGACAACTTCAAACTGTGTCTGGGATTTGTGTAAAGTGATATCCAATTGTTCATTCATTCATTCAACGAACCCTATGTAGTGGGCACTGTGCCACACACTAGGAATATAATCCAACACTGGCCCTGCCCTCATAAAGCTCAAAAGCTATTGAAAACAAATAAAAGGGACAATAGCACTGTGATAAGTGTAACTACAAATCTAAGCTCCAGGTGTTATGGAGGCATTCAGCTCAGACTAGGGGTAGGGGGCCAGTTAAGAAAGGGTATCTTACAGCAGACTCAGAGACTCCAAGAATGAACTAGTGGTTACCAAAGGGGAGGGGTGTGGGAGGGTGGATGGGGAAGGAGGAAGAAGGGGATTGAGAGGTATTATGTTTGGTACACATGGTGTGGGGGATCACGGGGAGAACAGTGTAGCACAGAGAAGGGATATAGTGCATCTCTGGCAACTTGCTACACTAATGGACAGTGACTGCATTGGTGTATGGGTGGGGACTTGATAATATGGGTAAATGTAGTAACCACATTGGTTTTTCATGTGAAACCTTCATAAGAGTGTATATCAATCATACCTTAATAAAAATAAAAAAATAAAAAAAAAGAAGGGGTGTCTTAAAGGACAAAAAGGTGAGTTAAGAGAAGTTTCAGGTGGAGGGAGCAGTATGTTAGAGGTAGTGTTCCAGGAATAGCAAATACCTCGGTGCGGCTGAAATGCAGGAAGTTATGAGTGATGAGGCTCAGAAGGCAGACAGAATCCAAGTCACAGAGAACTCTGTATGCCGCACTATAGCATCTGGAGTGTGCTGAAAACTACTGGGAGCTATTTAAGATTGAGGCCAGAGAGTGACATGATCAGATTTGCATTTAGAAAGCTCTCTCTGGCAGGACTGTGGAGAGCATAGTACATTACAAGAAGGGGTGAAAAAGACTGAGGCAGGAATCCAAACAGCAGCACTTCTAATTGACTGACAGAATCTACATAATGGGAGAGTTGCAATAAAAGATGACAGAAAGTACTCTATGCTGAGTCTGAGACCAGGCTGTCACTGATGAGCATTCTCTACTGAACAATTAAATTGCTTAATCTCTCTGGACCTCAGTTTTTACATTCTGAAAAATGTGTTTATGTGTGAAAGCAGAATGAGAACACTAGACTAGATCAAGTATCACCAACCTTTCTTAATGCTTTAAAATTAATAGACATAAAACATTAAAATATATATATAAGCAATAAAAAATTGTGATATAGGAAGTATCAGAGTACCTACCACCTAAGAATATTACCACTAGCTTTAAAGTCCCCTGCATATCTCTCCCCATCTCCTTCCCTTTTCACCCTAAGATAACACTATGCTGCAATGTGTTTACCATTCTCTTGCTTTTCTTTA